CCGCTCTTCTCGCCGGGTTCCGCGCGCCGTGACCCTGCGCGAACGCTTAAGTCTGTCTTTCTCTCTCTATCTATCTATCTGTCTATCTATCTCCCTCTCTCTTGTTCGCCACCGCCGCCGCCGTCGCCCCGGTGCCATTATGTATATTCCCGCTCGTCCCGTCTCGCTCGTTCGCTCGCGCCTATGAACAATCTATATTAAGGACGTGGGAATGTGAAATGGCCTGTCCAGCTATGCCAGCGATGCTATTGGAGTCGCGGTGTGGCCGTGTCTCGGCTGTCTCGACTCTCTGATCTCTCTTCGCGTATCATCTCTTCTCTGCTTTACACACACATACACACACTCACACACACGTACTTGTATTTCGTCTTTCATACGTGTACGTATAACCACACGCACGTGTACATATAACCCACCCCCGTGTGTCACTCGTTCGCGCCGTAACCTCGGATTTGCGCGTGACAGATGCTGCACGCCGAATCTCATGTCCGCGAAATATGCCGCGCGAACTTTCTCGCGAAACGATTTGTGAGAAATCCGCAAGACTTCTCGCCGCTTCTTCCAAAAGTAATTTTGTCTTTCACCCCGCGAGTCTAACACGTTCGCGAGGAATAATTATCCCTTTAGGAAGTAGCGTGACTATTACCGCGTATTACGTGGCATCTATTTTTGCGCATTGTAGCGTGAGACCGAATGTTTGTTTAAACGATATTTTATGACACGACGTGGGTGTAATAAATGTATATTTTATGTATTGAAGTAGGAGTTCTCTCTTTTCTAGTTTTAATAATGAACGATCAATTTATCGAAGAAAAGATTACATTTTTTGCTGCTGTCTAACGCGCGAACACAAATCACACACGTGTGTGACGAGAATAACAGCCGCACGTTAAACGCGCACGTAACGTGTTCGCGGAATTGTCGAGAATCGCTTATACGAGAGTCCGGCACGTTTTGTCGATCTCGCGGAAAACCGAATTCCTGAAATGCCGATATCTGTAAGTCAACGCGCGGCTCTCGGGGCCCATTCGCGCTCTCTCATTTAGCAATAGAAAATCCGAGATTTTCCTCGCGAGATTCTCGTCACGCGCGAGAAACTGTCGCGTTTCCTCTTCGGAAAAAAAAAAAAACAAAGAATTGTCACGCCCCTGATCGATTTATCGGTTGTCACTGATAATGCTCTCATCGCGCCAAGAAAGTGTTGTTTTCCTTGCCCAACCACCACTGCGTTATCGTGTGGAACTTTTTTCTAACCATGCAAAGTGTATTCTTTGACACTGCAAATATAAAAATTATACAAAGTTCAACATATAATTTTTATAAGTTACAACACGATGGAAAATATTTCACATGATTGGAAGAAAGTTTGTTCGCAACGGTGCGTGGGGAAAAGAGGAAAACAATTTACTGCTGTGAGATCGAATCAAAACGATTGAAATATATAAAGACGCATTTTGCTTTCCGTCAGGCGTTCCTCGTTTCCTTTCATAATCGTTGCAATTCTAATTTCTTCGCGTCGCTTATGGGGCGTTACAAATCGGTCCGGGATTCCGGACATACCGTTTGATTTAAGATAATCCCAGCCACTGTCGACGGATTTGTCGCACGCGCCCCTAAATGGCGCGCGTTCCAAGCCGTGCGCGTTCTGCGCGCGAACGGCGACCGGTTGTTTCGCTGTTTGCCGCCGTTATTGTTGCCGCCGCCGCCGCCGCAGCTATATCGCAGCTATATCGTGTATGTGCGTTACACGTTCTCCTGAGAAACTGTGCAAAAACTTGGAAAGCCGGAGTGTACACACGTTCGCGCGGGATTACGCAATCCCGCGAATCCCGTTGCGTCTCCTTCGTTCAGGGACTGTGTCCGTACACAGCTGACCGAGTGAACAACACGGACGACCGGGCCTGACGATGCAATCGCCATCCACGAAAGACAGAATTATCCACGGCGCTTTAGGAACGTCGCTACTTTTCCCAACCCCGGGGGCGATTCTGGGCCCCGATATGGCAGAAGCTCGCCGCCGGATCAATTGCACCGGCGCGCGAACGACTTCGTGCAAATCGATCGTGCACGCAACATCCGCGACACACTGATAAATCGGTACGTAAATCGCGCCGACCTCCCTGACATCGCGACGTGCTGCGAACGTACGTGCGGCACCATGTCTCTCGCGCGTGAGCGTCGCACGATTTCTCTCACGTCCAACGCCGGATTGAGCGTGAATCTTTCCGAGGAAACGCTCGTGTATATGTGTGATGGAATTACGGAGATTTTTCTTATTTATCAATAAGCGGGAGTAGAGAGAGATATATATATATATATATAGATAGATAGATAGATAGAGAGAGAGAGAAAGGGAGGGAGGGAGAGAGAGAGAGAGAGAAAGAGAGAAATGCTTTTATTCATGGCAAAAAATAGAAAAGCACTAAGCATTATGGAAAATGTGACAATTTGCACAAAAAACCAGATGGTTTTCGAATCTATTCGCTCGAGTGCTTCGTCAGCCACAGGCAATGAAAAATCTGAAGGAAGTAAAAGAGACATTGACGCGAGAGATTGAGTTTTAAAGATCGTCCAGAGTTTTACAACTTCGCGTGTCATGTATCGCGTGTGTTGTATGATACCAGTTGTGTGAAAAAAAGCTGTGGGTCAGAGGAATTACGCGGGGACTGTAATACAATTCTGCAAATGTCTGGCAAATCGTCTGGAAGACGGAAGCGCCATTTGGCCACGGTGACGTGTATACATGTGTATGCACGTGGATATATACGTGCGTGCAGAACGGCACGGTAACCTCTTTCACACAGTCGTGGCGACAGCTAAGAATCATCTGGTATACGAGCGGAGCTATTTCCACCGTGCGGAACGTTCATTCGGACGATCGCGATCCGAGATTGCTGGCGGAAAGATTTCACGGACATTACGACTCATCGTTTGTCTGTCGACTGCGGCATATACGATTTCGATCCGACTCGAGATTGCGATCTAATGAAATACATTCTCGTTCTCGCGTCGTACGTTATTTCGCTCGCTTCTCATCGTGAACTAATTGATTTACGTGCGCCGATAATTATGACGTTTACAACGCAAGCCGATATCTGAACACATCCGAGCCACATTTCATCAATCGATCGATCAGATGACTCATAACAACGGCGTGACGATCATCCGGAAGATTCAACGAATCGTTAACTTTGTCATCGAAATCTCGCGGAGTGTAAGCTGGAAATTGTCTTCCTTGGACATTTCGTCGGACGATTTGTTACTCCAGATCGGGACGTGTACCGCTACGCGTGAGCTTTCGAGATTTCGGACCGTTACACCAGCCCGGCCACGTGGCTCTTTCTTCCATTTAGGTGAGAACCTGTATCACTCTCTTTTTCGCGATAGCTTCTGTGACGATGCAGCACAATGCCAGTTTACACGGAATCTTGGATTCGTATTCTTCCGCGATATAGCTTCACTTCCGCCTATTGCTAGCACGTGTTACGTTACCAATCGCGGGTTGCGTCACAATCATGTGATTGGTATCGTAACAATTGCGACATTTCTGATCTGAAGCATCGGTGAACAGAATGTAGTAAAAAGTGAGCGAAATATTTTCTCGGAAGAGAACAAGTGCACTTCCGTCCCGTCTAAGGAAGAGAGCACAAAAATGAAGAACAATTCGATCAACCTCTAAAGAAACCACGGAAAGTCATCCTTGAAGAACAACCGCGGTGTGTTCTTGCGAGAACAAGTCGCGTTACCCACGTCGATCAGAAGTTTCCCCAAATACGGAAGCTGCGACTGAACGACGTGTAACCGACTTGCTGCGTGCTCGCGTTGTGGCGTGTCTTGAAATTTCCGAAGGGTGCGAGCGGCGAAAGACTGCAAAGCTGCGTCGTAAATTAGTACTCGATGACCGTGCGAGCGAGACCGCGCGCGCCTTTCGAAGCAGCGGGTCTTCTCGAGGCAGTTTTATCGTCGGCCGACAGGCGTTTAACTTTACGAGCGGCCACGCCACGTATATACTCTATCTCCTCCTCCTCCTCCTCCTTCTCCACTACCTCGTCTTTCCGTTCTTTCTCCGTCTCTTCCCATTTCCCTTCGCCCTTTAGCTCGCTCGCTCGCTCGTGTCCTCTTCGTCACTCTTTCCTTCTCTTTCGTTTCTCGCGTGCTCTTCTCTTCTAGGCGCAGGCATGCTAATTCACGTGACGCGCGTAACATTAAACCCTGACGTTTAATCCGGTAGAAACGCGCGTGGCTTACACACGGGCACCGACCGTCGACCCTTTATATGGTTCGGTCGTATGGAGGTTTCTCCGAGGCCGTAGACGTATCTGGTAATATCCGGCGCGAAAGTACAGACGCGGGGCCTCTATCGTGATAATGCTTGGTTTGTCTCGATAATCCGATTAATTTATATGGATGAGCCGCGCGCCATACGCCGTGGAGATGCCATTCTCCGACGTGTCGAAGGTCGGAGGTCGCGAGTTGAGAGCTTTCGCGCGCGGAAATTCATGGTCATTCGACGATCGTAATCGCGAGAGAGAGAGAGAGAGAGAGAGAGAGAGAGAGAGACTAGTAGATATCTCGTGCGACGATACGTGCGTTTGTAGATCAATTTAATAAGCAGGTAACGCGTATTAATTTTCACGAATGCGTCAGCGAAATATTCCGGATCTTAAACTTGCTATGTAATTTCTTGTAGCGACGTAAATCTAGGGATAGGACACGTAGAGTCGTAATTAAATGTATAATAATTATACATGTGTAATTATTAACGCGGTAAAGTTAAGTATTATACCTTGTCGCGTCATTTCTCAGTATTTTGATTTTCGACCGAGATGCGAAAATATCCATATATTTATGTCGTTCTTATTTTACGCGACCGATCCGAATGCAATGCGAGATAAATTAGATACATTTTTGAAGAAAACGACGAGATACGCAACAAAATAACAATTTGATATTGTCTAAGTATTATCAATTAGTCGAATATGTTGTATCTTTTGTTACAGTCTTTCTTCGGCCGCAATAAACACTTAAGACTAGAGCAGATTGAAGCGTGTAAAAATGGAGGGAGTTGCACAATTAACCAGGAGACTAGAGCGACGTGTAAGTACTGTCGGTTCCAGAAGTGCTTGAGAGTCGGTATGTCAAAGGAAAGGTCAACTTACGGTCGACGTTCGAATACGTTTAAACAGACGCATTTCGCAAATGCGACAAATCAGCAAGATAATCAAAATACACACGAACGGAGTTATTTAAGAGTGCCCAGCGTCGGTGCGGTTGCACTTCGTAGTGTTCCTTCGCAAAATAGGATTCACGAAGGAACTATGCTTTCAGACAGGCGAGAAATTCTGTCGGCGCTAAATCAACTCCAAAGTCACGACAGTTCGTTGCAAGCCACGGCCTGTCAGTTCACCAACGATCAACTCCGTCGGAATAACTCCTCTTTCGAGAATTCAGTCTCGATCCAGCAGCAATCACCTGTGCCTAATATATCAATACCCTCTATATCAATACCCTCTAGAAACACATCATCCGTTGGTTCCTTTCAGCAGAATCCTTCATCCAATTCTTACTCTAGTATTCAACAACTATCTACATCATTACATCTACATCAAATTTTCTTGTATACACGACTATTTAATGCAGTAAAAGCCAGTTCAACAAACGGCTTGATTGGTAACGGAAGGAATCCATCTTACGATATTGAGAATTATTTAAATCAAATTTTGCCATCTATATCCGGAGAGTCAACCAACCCACAAATCAATTTATCTCGTGAAATAGTTTCTGAAACTTCTGTTACCGAACCAAGTTCTCAATCTGCTGTTAATGTGATACAGACCGAGCCATTGAATCTAAGTGTACACAATGAACGTCGAATGCAAAGAGGACAAAAAAGAAAAAGAAAAGTTAGTGAAAATAGTACTACGTGATTGTAATAATTTGCTCTTGTGTGAAGAAAAGATCGATAAAAACTTTCTATCTTCGAGAAATTTGAAGAAATGTTCAAGAATTTGATGAAAGATTTAAAAAAAGATTGTATTGATCTTTTTTACACGAGAACAAAGTATATATATTTTACATGACAAAATTTAAGTCAAGCTTGTATAAAACATATTTTACATATTTTATGTATTTTATACGAGCTTGACTCAAAGTTTTGTGTCAGAAGGCAGAACTCAAAACCGTATAAGTATATATTATAATATTATGTATCTTTTCTTATGTTTATATATACCTACTTATTATATTATATATTATATACTATATATGTATATTTTATTTTATTGCAGTAAACTGTTATTTAGATATAAAAAGTTACAACCAAAGTTTAGTTTAAATTATATACAACACATGTCGCATATAACATGTTTTAAATTGTTATATTTTGACATAACAGACATAATAATAGAAAATTAATTATTATTTTACACACTTTATTATATCTACGAAAAATGTATTATTAACATTTATATAAATTAAAATTTTTTTTTTTTTGACTGAGGACTGTTTCTATCAATTTGAAAATATTGAATTTATTCCTCTAATAGTTTTTTTCTCCTTTTTTTTCTCTGTTGTCTTTTTAATATCAATAAATTTTTGTAGACTGCTATTTATAGATTAGATATTTGATTATTTATAGATATAGATATTTTGATTCATTTCATAAAACTAGCTTTTTCTTTTAATATTCTCATAGTTTTTAATATTCTCTTTATTTTTTATTACTTTTATTATAATAGTGTGAAAGTTTATTATTCTTATTTTATAAGAATGTTTGTCTCTTATTTTTATTGATATAGATATGTGTAGACAAGGAATTCTAAAAATAAGTTCTTTAATAAATATCGTATAAAGAAATTTGATAAAGGATTTTTATAAAGAATTTTTCACATAGTAAAATTAAACTTCTGGTAAGAAGCTATACACTAATTTTTCGGAATACAGCAATATATAAGTATATTGACAATGTACGATTAAGTTTTATAAAAATATTACTTTTAGTAGAACGCAAAAGAAAAAATAGTTTTTCATAAATCATTTCTTTTTATCTTTTCCATCTATTTCTAAAACAATTTTTTTTATATCTATTTTTCTTTTTTAATTTCTCGCTCAATTTCATATATATTGTTACTTATAAATAAATAAATTATATTAATTTTTTTTTACAATTAACTTGAAACCATTATTATAATATATTATCATATGAAATCAATTTTGCTAAAGTATTCGATTTTTTAAATAATGAATCACTTGGAAAAAAGAGAGAGATCATAAAAAGACAGAGAAGAGAGAAAGCACACGAGTTGTGACACACAAATGTTCATTTAATTTTATAAAAATAGAGATCAAAATTCTCTATACATATATTATAGTACAAACATTGACTTTGCAAAATGCAAACGGGAATTTATCTTGAGTTCTGCCTTATTATACTTGCGTTTAAATGTTCGCGAATATTAAATTACTAATATATCGAGGACTCGTGACACGGTTACATCGATAATTGATCCGTCTGTATTTCTCCCGGAGTCCGATAATGCTTCAAGAAATTCAAGTGACTTTATTGCATTCAATCGCAGTTGCGAGATGGTTGCTTCACAGAGAAGATGCGCACCGTATCACGTGTCTATGTGTACATACAGCGTGCATATGTAGCGAGGTTGCATTAATAATATGTATACTTGGTGCAAAACGCGCTACCGCGTCTTTTGATATGTGATATACCGGCTGTGCAGATACCATTAATCAATTGCGGCAGGAAGCGCGAGCGTTGCGAAATCGTTGGCGTTGCGGATAACCATCTTACGCGACTGACCTTGGCAGGTCGATCGTTCGCTTTTTACATCCGGATTCGACGATGTTTCCTACGCGATACTGTAGCATGCGATTAGAGAGATAGAGAATTGTATACGAATAAGTTTTAATACGACGTAAATTTATTGAATATTCAATAGATTAAATTGATTAATTCGATGTAACACGTTGAATGTTTAATAAATTAAATTTATATGTTGCATAAACTGCTATCGCGTGTTAATTTCAACATATAGTTTTATTATCCCATTTTACGCATGACAATAAACGTCCAAAACCAACTTTCCGAAATTGTAATTTAATTTACTGTTTTTACATAAAAAGTATCTTTAATAAGATTGCGTAATTAATTTATGTTTACTAATATTTATTATTTTTATCTGCCTGTGTAGATAGAAGTTTTATACTCCTCGTATTTTTATGGCATTTTTATCTCTCTTTTGCCATACATTAACACAGTTTAGAGAATATATTTTACAAATTCGGGAAAAAAAGAAGGAAAAGAGATCAAGGTAAGTGTCTTTTTCAAATCGCTTGTTATAAAATGGGTTTCCTTGACACGATCAAAGAAGCTGAAAGATTTGATTATGATGATCTTATTAAATTAAAAAACAGACAAACTAACAAAATCTCAAATGACTTGTCGAACATTTCGAGAAACTCAACCGAGTTGTGCTTGACGCATTGACTCATCGCAAAACTGATGATTCGATACTAGTGATGTATATCAGAGACGACGTATACAATAGTATACATCACTGTGACGTGGTATTAAAGTGCTCGATACAATCAAGATATACAGTTTGCACAGTGTGTACATATGTCGTAGCCACGTATGCATTACGCATTAACGCGGATAACAAACGATCGAGACTCAGGACAGTGCGTCAGTCCACTGCGACTGGTTACACCGTCCCAGCAGTAAACAATCGTTCAAATCCGTCATGATTCTATGCATGAGGAGCGCAGTATTGCCGTGTACAGAAAGATTTTAGTCGTTTCTGCACTCGAGTGAAATATCGATAGACAACCGGCTTTACGAGACGTTCGATTCGATCTGTCTCGTGATGCAAAAGTGAAGTTCCATAGAAACAGCAACGATCTCTCGATCTCGGGAAAAACTTAACGCGAACATAAATCTCTGGAAATGAAATATTATATGAACGCGAGAAGCGATTGACTGTATCATCGTTAGTTGCTGTGTACGTGTTGCAAAAATTTGCTCACGTTGATTGCAATTTGTAAACAACGTAAAATTCATGAAAAAAAGATTTTACTTATAATTACAAATTTAAATTAAATTTAGTTTTTTTAGTAAGCGTTACAATTACTTATATTTAAGATTATTTTTATAACTTATCATTTAGTCTATTTAATTTTAAAGGTTTTTAAAGAAAAACACATAACACTCTCAGAGTTTTATTTATTTCTCTTTCTGTCTCTTTCTGTATTTTTTTAAACAGAATTTTTATACAAAAACATAGAGATGTGCTCTCTCGATTTGTATTTCCCAATGCTAGCTGCTTTCTCTCTTCGAAACGGCTCGCAGAAGATGCGTTCGACGATTTCCCAGAGCAGTGACAAGAGAGAAACATACAATGTACAGCGGTACGTAACACATAATGCAAACTGTCAGAACGGCTCTCTTGGGACACGACGGACAAGTTATCGTAATCGAACGAGCGGAGAGTCAGCTCGAACGTTCGCAGACGCTACAAATAGGTAAGATGAAAATCGTGCGAACAGTTCACGATGTTCCGTATGTTTCCGTATATTTTTAACCACTTTAACCGTTTTCTGATTAAACAGATTAATAACTCGAAAAGACAACCGTAATGATGCCTAATTGATTGCGCGAAACGCACCGTTCGCGCACAACCTTCGCCAACTTAACCACGTGCGGTTGTGAGTAATGAGCCGTGTCTCCGCGTAATTATTAATTCCCGGGGAGCTGTTGAATGTTTTACAAAGTAGCTCTATCCATTTCGTTTACAAAAATCGCGATAAAACTGACGAAGTTGATGACAAGCGTCACGTCGTCGCAGTTGTAAGTGAAAAAATAGATAAGGAGTCATAATCCACCTGATATGTCGACGTATTTTGGGAGCTAAAATCAATTTTTTTTTTTTTTTTTTACAACATAGCAATGTGTCTTGTTAAGATGTGTTGTTTATACTTTCTTTTATTGATGAGCTTCGTGTGTCGATTTTATGTTGCGGTGTTTCATAAACTTTCAGTTGAATTTTTGTTTGCGCATTTTTTTATCAAATTCGAGAATAGCTTTTTTTTTACAGAATAATACAGAGATATCTTTTAGAATTGGCATCTTGGCATGCAAACGGTCGGTTTATGATGTCACGTGGGCAAGTGAAGGAGAAATCTCGCTCTCGAGTGCGATACGTGAACTATCGTCGATACCAATAGACCTCGCTGCGAAATATACGGCTTATACGGATCCCTGGCGTGCACGGAGAGCGTTAGGGGTTAACGAGGGCCGATCGTGTGATCGGTCGATCTTTCCCAAGAGCCGAGGCGGCCCAATTAGAAGGCACATAAAAGCCGGGCGCATAATCAGCAATTTGTATTGTCGAAGGATAAGGGCGCGCGCGCGCGCGCGCTCGCGCGGACAGAAATATCCACTCTCTCTATCCTTTTCTTACGTCCTCGTTCTGTCTCTCTCACTCTCATTCATTGTTCTCCGCACGCCCACCCTCTCTTTCGAAGCCACTTTGCAAAATAACTTCATACACACAAGGCGAGTGCAAGACGTTAGACGAGGAGATGAGAGGTAAAGAGGCTGCAAGGCGCGTTTGTTGACGGCTCGGCGTGGAGTTGGAGAGGGACAGGACGAGAGAGAAGGGGTGGCACCCGATTAAGCTATGCAATCGCCAATTATCGGCAATTTGATCCGGTTATAACTCAATTTAAAGTAATTGGGCCGCGTCGAGCGCTCGCTCCTCTCGTGAGTCTTTCGTATGTGTTAAGACGCCTAGCGCGTACGCGCACTCGCACGTGGATTTGTGTGTGTATGTACGTACGACAGGTACGAAAGAAGAAACACGAAAGACAAAGAGGAGAAAAGGACGGAAGAAAGAGAGGAGGGAAACGTCTTGAC